GAGTGTGTGTGTGTCTGTGTGTGTGTGTGTGAGTGTGTGTGTATGAGAGCTAATTTTCCCTCTTTAATACTGAACTGGGAACAGCAGTTTCACCTGCATGATTATTTAGTGCAGTATTTCAGCAAGAGACTGATATTAATAATGTTCATATTTGTGGTGACAGATGAAGCTCTGATGGCTTGATTTGTGTTTCTGTGACCTCAATGTTTCTTCAGATCTGTGTGATGTTTATATGAAAATCACCTGTCTGAGACATTAAACGCTCTTCATAAAGTCTGTTCAGATCAGTTTTGAGAGAGAAGAATGAGAGTTAGTGTCTGATTCTGTGTGATGTGGGTTTGTAATCCTGACTGGGTTAACTAGGTTAGCGTGTGACCCGCATGAATGTTCGAAGAACAGCAAATAAAACCATATAAAAGATTATACATTTAATTTCATTTATACTAATATTTATAATTCTTGTAATAGTGGTGTATATTTTTAATCCAACATTATAAATGTGAGCAGACACACGAGGGCAGTAGATTCACACTCATATCGCTCTCAGATGAAAAGAAAATCAGCAGAAATATAGAAAAAAACAGGAATATTGTGAAATATTATTATCATTAATTGTTATTAATAAACTGTGATACTTTTTGTTTCAGGGTTATTTGAGGAATAAAAAGTTAAAAAGAAGAGCATTTATTCAAAATAGAAATATTGTTCAAAAGTTTTGGGGTCAGTCATTTCTTTCTTTTTATTTTTGAAAGAAATGAATGCTTTTATTCAGCAAGGATGTGTTAAATTAATAAAACGTGATAAAAAAGACTTATATTGAACATTCTCACAACGTGCAATGTTTTTTTTAAAGTTATATTTAACGTTCTTAAAGTAATGATTATGGAACTTTATTAATATTTGACACACGTTCTCGTAACATTTTTATGATGTTGTACCTGACTGAACGTTGTAAGAAACATTTTGTGCAACCTTTAAATAACGCTGAAACCTCAACAAGAAAACTGGAGATTTTAACGTTCTTTGAATATTAAAAATAAACGTTCAAATAATGTTACATTTCGTATGAAAATAACACTAGTAAAACATTTTTAAATAACGTTACAATCACAAGAAAAATTGCCATTTTAACGTTCTTAGAATATTAAATATAAAAATACAAATAACTATAATTTGACCAAAAAAGGTTACAAAAAGAAACGTTTTTGTAACCTTTTAATAACGTTACAATTGCAACAAGAAAACTTTTCAAACAAAACAACATTTCTATAAACTACATTTTCTACCTGGACCAGGATTCATTCATAATTTAAGATACTTCTTCATTAAACACAGTTCATTCTCATTTATTAGATTCACACATTAATAATGTCGACTGTTAATGAACCGTGCCTCGTTTCTCAGTCATCTCCAGCTTATGTTACGAGGCAGAAGAGCTGTTTTCTGTGAATGTGTGAGACTTCTGATTCATTATCTGCTCTTTAGTGATGTTCTCAAAACTAGTCAGACATCTAGTGTCTCTGTGTGCCGCTAATTAGCTCTTTCTTGACAAATGAAATGCTCAGATTCTCTAAAGAGCAGCTAATGAACGTCTTCTGAGCTCATATTCTCAGTCAAAAATCACCTGGAACTGTTAGAAGTATTGATATATATAGATATTTTTATTTGTAATATTACAATTTTACACAGTCATTTTATAATAATAAAAAACGTTTCTTTTTTATTTTAATTATTAATATTAATATTTTAAAAAATTAATTAATTAATTATATTTTATTATTTATATATAATTTTATTTATAAATAATAAATATAATAAATGATACATAATACTGCAACAATTGTATTCATTTCTATGAAATATTTAATTTAATATTCAACAAAAGTGAAATTTAAAATGAAACTTGAATAACTGCAGAAAATAAAAAAATAAAAATTATATATAAATAAAAATATCCTTTTTTTCTTCTTAATTGTATCCAAGTTTCATACAATTAAATAAATATTATATATCAATGAATAAAATAAAATATGTGGTACTATTGTATATATATATACATATATTCCTTCATATTAATACAGTACAAAAGGCCAGTGTGTGTGTGTGTGTGTGTATATATATATAGCTTTTACAGTGTATATATATATATATATATAATTTATAAAAAAATTATTTATATAAAAGTACCACAAATAATTGTATTTTATTAATTGATTTATAATATTTATTTAATTGTATGAAACTTGGATACAATTAATAAATATAAAAAAACTATTCTTTTCTTGTACGCTTATGGGAAATACATCCACATTCATACAACATCTGTTGTCCAAACATCCGTCAGAAACTGACAAGAATCTGCTATGAATTCTGTAATATCATTTATCAGCGCATATATTGATAGTAAAATAAATGATACAAACTCATCTGTTGGTTGTACTGTATTCTCTTCACTGCAGAGTTTATCAGATGTTTGGTGCTTCCGTAGTTCATCAATCAGCTCTGATCTGATCAATATGATCGTCATGTAACGCTCCTGTCTGATTCCAGAAGAACTCTGTCTGTTCTCCTGACAAACGACGCAGGGTTAAAACAATCTCCTCAAATCTTCAGAATCCATCATGTTCGGTCTAAATTGAATCGGTCTGTTCTGATATGAGACTCATGTGTCAGAATAATCTATGAAAACAATCTCTGGCTGGGGAGGAATTATATTTCATATCAGAAATCGCAGAACTGTGTGTTCGCTGAAATGGGCTTCTGTTCAAGCTGTTTCCTTGTCAGACTTCAAAAGTCATCAGAGATTACAGAGCTGAGCGGGTCAGAGCTTGGGTTTGAGGAAACCAACTCTGTGATGCTGCGTATATGATCAAAAATACAGTAAAAACTGAAAAAAATGTGAAATATGATTACTATTTAAAACAGCTGTTTTCTATGTGAATATGTGTTAAACTGTAATGTATTTCTGTGATGCACAGCTGTATTTTCAGCATCATTCCTCCAGTCTTCAGCGTCACATGATCTTCAGAAATCATTCCGATATGCTGATCTGCTGCTCAAGAAACATTTCTGATTATTATCAATGTTGAACACAGTTGTGCTGCACAATATTTTTGTGAATGATTCTCTTACTCAGTATTTTTGTCATGTGTTTAGGTACAAATATCTAATACTTTTACTTAAGAGGTAAAATGACTATTAGGTCTATTAGATATCAAATCTTGTTTTCAGAAAAATCTACCAAAATGAAGGGAGTTTATGCTTAAAACAAGAACAAATATCTGCCAGTGTGGAAAGAAAAATGTACTTCATTCAAAGGGAGAACCAGAATCATTTTCCAAACACAATTTTTCGTAACATTATAAATGTATTTTGTTACGTTATAAATATCTTTTGTTATGTTATAAATGTCAGAATTTTTGTTACATTATAAATGTCAATTTTTGTAACGTCTTTTGTAACATTATAAATGTATTTTGTTACGTCATAAATGTCAGAATTTTTGTTACATTATAAATGTCGATTTTGGTAACATATGCATTTTGTAACATTATAAATGTCTTTTGTAACATTATAAATGTCTTTTGTAACATTATAAATGTATTTGGTAACATTATAAATGCCTTTTGTTACGTTATAAATGTCAGAGTTTTTGTTACATTATAAATGTCAATTTTTGTAACATATGTATTTTGAAACATTATAAATGTCTTTTGTAACATTATAAATGTCTTTTGTAACATTATAAATGTATTTTGTTACGTTATAAATGCCAATTTTTGTAACATATGTATTTTGAAACATTATAAATGTCTTTTGTAACATCATAAATGTATTTTGTAACATTATAAATGTATTTTGTTACATTATAAATGCCAATTTTTGTAACATATGTATTTTGAAACATTATAAATGTCTTTTGAAACATTATAAATGTCTTTTGCAACATTATAAATGTATTTTGTTACGTTATAAATGTATTTTGTTACATTATAAATGCCAATTTTTGTAACATATGTATTTTGAAACATTATAAATGTCTTTTGTAACATTATAAATGTATTTTGTAACAGTATAAATGTCTTTTGTAACATTATAAATGTATTTTGTAACAGTATAAATGTCTTTTGTAACATTATAAATGTATTTTGTTATGTTATAAATGTCTTTTGTAACATTATAAATGTCTTTTGTAACATTATAAATGTATTTTGTAACAGTATAAATGTCTTTTGTAACATTATAAATGTATTTTGTTATGTTATAAATGTATTTTGTAACATTATAAATGTCTTTTGTAACATTATAAATGTATTTTGTAACATTATAAATGTATTTTGTTACGTTATAAATGTCAATTTTGGTAACATATGCATTTTGTAACATTATAAATGTCTTTTGTAACATTATAAATGTCTTTTGTAACATTATAAATGTCTTTTGTAACATTATAAATGTCTTTTGTAACATTATAAATGTCTTTTGTAACATTATAAATGTCTTTTGTAACATTATAAATGTCTTTTGTAACATTATAAATGTCTTTTGTAACATTATAAATGT